TATTCCAAAAACATTGTGCGTCTTTCGGTATTAATTTATCTCTAAACCCAGCATTTTAAATTCTCAGAAACGATCATTGCAGGAAAATTGTGGGCCGGGACTAAGATTTTTGAACGATCGATGCGATAAAACGATAGTTCGAGGAACGATAGAAGCGGGAAAATGTAACATTATTTTATATGGGATGTATTCGGGAACGAACAAAACGGACGATGCATCCGGGAAAACGATAGTTCCGGGAACGATGGATAGAGGTTTCACTGTATCTAGTTTTCCATCAGTTACAAAGCATCTCCATTACATGATTTGATGCTACAGTATACATAAGCATGCTGTGGACATGATAGAATCTTTTCAGATCATCCAATGTGTCAGTTTGCAGCAGGTGTCCAGTGCTTTGGAGACCATCGATGTTTCCATTGTTAAGGAATTGTGACATTATTTTCTGATGATGAAGGCAGATGGTTTCCTGAATGTTTGACTGCTGCTCTGAAATAATGTGACTTGTAGCTGTGGCGATGGCTTCAAATCTTATGTGATGTACACATGTTTCAATGCCATTAGTTTTATGGTCTCTTTTAAGTATCCATTCACAAGGTGTTAAACTTCATGCACTGAGCAAATTGGTGCAGTGGTAACATCCTTAGACTTGTTATGTGGATGAACTCCCTGTCTTTGGGACTTTTTTTATGAATTCCTTCAGCCTCACTAGGTGAAAGGCCACAAGAATATCTCCAAAATTCTTAGCAACTCATCTTTTGTGGGAAGGTGGTCATGAATTGTGCATACGAGGTGCGATCAAAAGGTTTCCAGACTGCGCGTATAAAAACCCGTACACTTATCTCACGTATTAAATTCATCCATCACCCTCGAAGTAGTTCCCCTGGGAGTGAACACAACGATCCCAGCGCCGCTGCCAAGCCTGGAAGCATCCCTGGAAATCTTTCTTTGTCAGCCTGTCAAGCACCAACTGCGATTCTGCCTGAATCTCTTCTACCGTCTCAAATCTCCTTCCCTTTAGCAGGTGTAGAATCTGCTGACAGGTCCCATAGCCTATCCCAGCAATGTCGCACAAGTCGTTGATGGTACGACGTCGATCTTTGTGAATGGCCTGCCGAATCTTCGTAACATTTTCGGGCGTTGTGCTCGAAGATGGTCGTCCAGAACGCTCGTCGTCATCGACAGAGGTTCGGCCATTTTTAAAACATGAATGCCACATAAAAGTTTGTGAACTACCCATTGCGGACTCCCCAAATGCTTGCTTTAGCATTTCATAGGTTTCCGTAGCCGTTTTGGCAAAATTTGATGCACACGCCATTCCGAAATCGCAGGAGGGTCGGTGTAATGCACTACCAAAACGCCCGTAACTAAGAAACAAATGCCAATTCGATGATGCCGGCTGGCACACTGATTCACTATGAATGTAGGCCGCACCCCCTAGCGGCAGAAGCTCGTACTACATCCGGTTCGCCCTCTATTGACACAGTCTGGAAACTTTCCGATCGCACCTCGTAGATAAGAATTTAGTTGACACTTGTTACCTGTTTTGAAGGCGCAGTTACGAAATTTTTTGGAGGTGCTGAGTAAAACCATTAAAAATCTTAGTTGGGATAGGTGATAGTCCTTATACCGAATTTTATCAAAGTTCTTAGTAGTTATGGACTCACAAAATACAGGCAGATGAACACAGCCTCCCTTGTATGAATTCATTTCATGCACTTTATTCAAAATACACAGAAAGTGGTGTAATGAATGTTTTTCCGAATGTTAGCTGCCGGTCATGCATTGAAAATTTTCAGTTCTGTGAAAGATAGAATAAGTCACACTGTACAGTTCCAAGCAAACTTGGTCGTAAATATTATAAAGGATTAGCACTTGCAACTAACTACATGTGCATATCACTCTTTGTGATCTCCGACCCTTTCTCTCTTGTTTCTGTAGGGGTTCAGCTGGGTCATGTGATCAGTATTCTGTTGGTAATTTAACAGGAAGTTACATTCTGTGGTTGCTCTTATCAGCTGTCATCTGGTCTTACCAGCTGTAAATTTTAGTATAATGCAGTGGAACCTCCTTATTTACATGTATCCAGGGATTGGTGGATGGTGTAAATTGCAGGAAATGCAAGTCATAAGCTTTAATCCTTACATTAACCTTTTCCCTATATTGAAATATAAGTCAATTACTAAGCATTATATGAACTTTCTGGTACATATAACTGCTAAAAACTAAAAATGTACAAAGATGGCTGTCTTCTAGGTTGTAGCATCATGTAGGCTGGTAGTAGTTTACCACTGTTTCAGAGATCATTGCTGCCTCCAACATCAGTTATTGCCCTGATGATGGATGCAGGGACATCTGTAATGTTGGTAAACTTGTATGGGGCTACATGGTACTACAACCTAGAAGACAGCAATCTTCTTACTCACCACTGTGAGAACCTCAAATCCTACTTAAAAATATACATCAAGTCAAAATAATTTGTAAAATGATATGAAAGTTTTTGCACAGAATAATCATTGTATTGTACTTCATAAAAAAATAATTGGACATCTTCTGCGCTAATTTACATTTTCTTCAAAGACCTGATGATTTTTGATTATTAAGTTCAGAGATGATCCAAGCTGTTTTATGAAGGAAATACGAGTTCCTGTACGTTATGAACATATTGAGATGTCTCACACACACAGAGTATGTCAAGACATTCTCAAGTGCCCAGTGTAATTATAGTGAAATGAATGAACCATTATTATGTGTATATAAAAGTTGCTCAGATCCCAGAAATGTACTTCAGCTAAGATGCAGTGAACAGCAAGCATAATCATATTGTGTGCTGTGGTTGATGTTGAAAGGATAACTGAACATTTTAATTTACAAGAGCCTCTTGTGACACAAGTAGTATGTTTTAGTTCATTGTGTGTTTGCGTGCATGCGTGTAATTTTGTTCAGAATGCTGGCTACTCAGCAGTACAGACTGAATATAATTTACATGTGCATAAGATCAATGACTGTTCTGTAATTTCAGTGAGAGTGGAGAAAAGAAAAGACCAGTGATTATTCATCGAGCTATTTTGGGCTCAGTTGAGAGAATGATAGCAATTCTCACGGAATCTTACGCTGGAAAATGGCCATTTTGGCTGTCTCCTAGACAGTGCATTGTAATTCCTGTTGGGGCTCCATTTCATGACTATGCCTTCAAGGTATGTAAAGGCAGAAATATGAAGTAAACTTTAGCCTTTAGTTTTATTTGTGTGTACAATACGATTTTTCACTCTAAGGTAAGAATTACATAGAAGATATTTGAGAACAGAGTTCTGAGTAGAATATTTGGCATACAATATAAACCTTTCACAGCAATGAACATTAATAAAATCTTCTCAGGCTATTAGTCATTTGTCACTTGGTTAAATATCACAAATATTTAAGGGACTGTAAAATAAGCAAACAAACAAACAAACAAACTATTAACAATATAAAAAATCACTAGTGCCATACGCATTTCAACCTCAAGAGGTCATCATCAGTGGCAACAGGGAAATTAATTAATTTAATCAAAATGGTTTAAAATTTGTCTAAATATGGTTTAGGAAACAAATCATGAAGTGGAGTTATTTTACAAAAGCATATCAAGCAATACCACACTAGATGTTGGTTTCACGGGAGTTTAACTCAAGTGTTTTTCCATACATCATACAGAGAAGAAATACCGTTAGGTGTGTAGCTATCATATTTACTTAGAATAGAAATATTTTATATCTGATAAAGTTATGAAATGAATATCCCATCTTTCTAATAGGAAATTCTATTTTTCAATTATTTTTGACGCATAGAGCAATCGACCACTGATACATGCACATTCATTCATCTCCTTATCAAGCATTCTTTATGTGTGGTGACTTCATCATTTACACTTTGCCTTCTGTTTCGCTTTTATGTTGCTGAACTTGGTCTTGAAGTTACAAACACAAACATCTCGAAAGGACGCATAGCTCTAATACTATGAAATCCAGTGCTTATACATCATATATCTGCATGTAATATGAGGTGTTTAGTTGTTGCCAAAGTCATATCTGTCAACTTGGTGTTGCTTTATTATCTACTGAACGACAGCATCCAGAAAGGCACCATTTAATAATACACATCTTACTAGCGACAGTAGTACAGTCCGTGAAAAATATTTCACATAGTCAGTATTCAAACAGTATGAACTGTGATCCTTTTTTCACCATATTTAGCAAAGTTTCTTCCATTTTATGCAAGTTATAAAAGAAAATCAAACCAGTTCATAAGAGTAGTTGAATTTATACAGCTTATTTGTATTTAAATAGACCAGCAGAGAGTTGCAGTGGTATTAAAAGGGGCCGCAAAGGGTTAAAAGAACTATTTTACATATATTTTTTTACACCTGGTTTCAAAAAAATGTCTTCCGATGTTATCAAATTGTAATTTTTCTATTGCTTTATTGCAGGTGAAAGATCAGTTGTATTCTGCTGGTTTTATGTGTGATGTAGATGTTGATCCAGGAGACACAATGAATAAGAAGATTCGCAATGCTCAGTTAGATCAGTACAATTTTATTTTGGGTAAGTTGAGGCATATAATATGAACTGTGTGGTATGACATTTCAACATTCACTACTAAGTTTGAACCTTTGAACTCTTCATTAATTAACTACCAGAGCTACAAATAAAGAAAATATCTAAATAATATTTATGAATTCAGTTTATACTTCAAATAAAATGCAACACTTCTCCATTACTTACATCAAGTGATTAATACTGTTTGAGAAATTAGTTGACTCGATGTCCAGCCTAAACAGTCAGTGATATTCAAGTTCTAATCAGATTTTTTAGTCAGTAATTTGAAGAGCTGAAGTATTTCATCATGTATTGGTGATGTGATACTTTTATTTTCAGTCGTATTTAGTCGAGCGTCATTTTTAGGGATGTAGTAGGGGCTTGGAGAGGTTCATTTATATTATTACTAATTTTGTGTAACTTCATTTATCTTAAGCTTTTGAAATGTGTGATCCCAGAAGTGCGGATGAACCACGTAGATGGTGAGACAGACAGACGTATCATTATATTGCACTCCTGTACCTGATTTGATAGTGTTTGAGAGACAAAGTAAACAATACAACAATATGGAGGATCACTCAGTGGAGTAGGAAAGGGTAGTTACTGGAACAGAACCCATACACTGTGCTTTCATTATCTTCAATATATTATAGTAAGGAATCTGTTTTTATATAGGTTGTTTCGGTGAGGTATGGAACTAACAGCTTCTAACCACAGCCGTTAGTCTTGAGCTTAGTAGTATTCATTTTGGGGTGTGTCTGTATTTTGAAGTATCTGGCGGTGCAGTTGTTTGTTGGAATGGTGAAGGCTCCCGCTGATTGAGTCACATCTGTGGTATTCACTCTTCCATGCACATTGGTTTGAATCATTCCGACCAAAATGTGTTGTGTGCTGTGGTGTTAACACATTGTTCTCCTGTTAATTTTTTTATAAGTTTGGAAGTCAGAATTTAATACGTTCACTCTCTGGTACTCTTCTGCTGGCTTAGCTCTTAGCTCAGCCCAGCCATGTTTCATCAGTACATTCATTTTGCAATATTACTTGGTAAAGAAATGAATGGAGGACTGGCTGTATATGCCATCTAGCAATCGAAGATAAGACCACATGCTCAGACTGCTTTCTGAAAGAGATTGGTTTTTCTCCACTCAGAGCGTTGCAATCTGACCAAGATGAGATTGGTAGTCTGGACAAAGCGCCATTTAATGACCAAATTCATACAATGAAATAAAATATCTCCAGTTTCCCTCTGAAAAGCTAGGTGCCAGTTCTTGCAAGAATCTAGTTTTTTTGTGCACAGAACAAAACTTCAAACTGTTCCCTTTGTAGAATTGTAGTTGTTGTTGTTCCTGTTCTGGGTATTATGAAATAATGGAGATAATTCACAAAAGCTGACATATATTGCCAGCATCCATACTAATAATGTTTATTTGCAGTGGTCGGTGAAAAGGAACAGAGCGGAGGAACGGTGAATGTGCGTACGAGAGACAATATTGTTCATGGAGAGTTCTCAATTGAAGCAGTGACGCAGAAGTTTCAAGCCCTGAAAGACAAGCGGTCACTGGACAGTGAAGTGGACTTCTGAGCACAGTAAATAAGAAAACATGTAAAGCTGTTTTGCCTATATAAATTCAGAGTGAAGGACCATCTATTTGATAGCATTACTGATACATTTTTCAAGTAATAATTTCACATTATGCTAATTTATCTTTTATATGGCGAAGAAATTATGCTTCAGAGCAGTTAAAAATGTAAAAATTGTAAATACATCATAGCAGTGCTGATGTACAGTTGACTCACAGACGTGATGATGCACAGACGAGTGTTTGGATTATAATATTTTGGGTGTTGTAGAAATTTACATTTAGTCACAAAAGAATAAAATAAAAATTCGCTTCACCATTTATGTAATGTGGTTTTTTATTTGTAGTAATAATTGATGGCTCCATTGTGCAACTGAATGCAAAGGTGAAGTTCAGTTTTGAAATAGTAAATGTGCTTAATACTGGAAAGAAGTCTGAAATTTGGTGTAGCAGATCTGTGTGAATGTATTTAAACAGTTGTATGGCAGTTCTAGAACAGCTTCTTTAGATTTCATTGAATACATTTCTGTGGTGTTCTTTCATATCAGTTACTGCCGTGTATTACCATCAACACTTCATCACTAATTTATATTTTGTTTTATGTACATGGTTCAACTTGTAAACTATGTTTAGTGCTTCCCTTGTATATTAGTGTTGTGCAAATCAGCCTCTACTATACATGCATGTGCACCTTTCCATAGTATATATAATTACTAGAAATTTTAAGTTAAAATTTAGAACTTAATTTCATATAACATTGGTTGGTATCTAATATTTCTGTCCACCTAGGCAGTAGTGTAGATCTTCCATTCCAGAGGTGGGAGCATGTGTACGGCGGATTCTGTGATCATGAGAGTGATGATCAGCAGCGGGGCCTACAGCTTAATATGCACTGAAACACGTCACATTTAGTTTGAATATTATGTAAAGGTTGCAGTTAATTTTCATGTATTTTTTAAGTTGTCAAATGTGTGAATGTTAATGCTGTCTTGGCTACCAATTAAAATGAAGGCTCATGGTTTCCTTTAAATTATGGATATTTTATCCTGAAATTATTCTATCTATTGCCCTCTTTCTTTCCATTATTCCACAGTTTTAAATATCTTATATTCTTACAACCCAAGTGAAGTAATTATAGTTTTTACAGATGCTATGTTCACCAGCTGTCGCCCTCGGTGGACTAGTTAGCTTACTCGCTACTGGACACAAGGTTCACGGGTTCAATCCCGGCCGAGGTCGGTGGATTTTTAAGGGTGATAAAAATCCGTAGCATAACTTTCTTCAGAGGGGAAGTAAAGCCGGCGGTCCCACGTCATAGATTTATGGCATGTAAAAGAACCTTGCGAGCATGATACGAGATGTTTCGTAAGCAAAATTCAGCTGCCCTTTCTCACCCAAGTATCTCCTGATTCACTGCTAGGTGGCTCTGGCAGTCAAATAAGGAGTGAGTAGAAATTGTGCAGAGTCAGTGGGCTGGTCACTCACTACTCGTAATGCACGCTTTAAAGACTATGAAACCTCCGAAAGGAGGCCATGTGCTCCATTTAGGAGTTACAGGAACTAAGTTAAGTTATGTTCACCAGCTATCATAATACTGCTGTTAGGATGTGTATTTCAGTATGGTGGAGCAGATAAAGATGCATAACTTTTTTTATGAAACACATGGGTACCAGCATGGAATAGAATGGTCACTCCAGCCAGCAAAATTTTGCTCATCCAAGCGCAATTGCCAAACATTCATTTACTAAATCAAAGGAAGAACTATGCCATGCAGCAATCTGTATCCTCTAAATCTGTCACTGAATTTGAGTTTTTACCTTATACAGGGAAGTTTCTTAACCAGTTGAGACATTTTGTAAGATTCCTTGGAAAGTGATGAGCCCTTCCAACACAGGACAGCACAATGGAGAAAGATGCAGTCAAACATTTGTGCCTCAGTGGGATTTTAACCCACAGTCCCCATGTCGGAGCAATCACAGCCCATGCCTCCCTCAATCTGCATGTCCACTGTGACCAGCCAGCCAGCCATTACTTTACCTAACATAAATACAGAGAAACTTTTGGATGGGAAACATAGTTATCGGAGAGGGATAGTCCTCCTGTCTGCCATTACTTCTAAACATGGATTCCATGATAAAAATCTAGGGGTACTGACAGTTCTGCATGAAGTCTTTTCATTGTGACTTCTACACACCAGCCTTTATCATCATGCGATTTGAAACACAATGAGGTAGTAGAGAGTGAGAATGGGGAAGAAGAAATTATTAATGGAGAAAACTCCAGAAGTGAGGTCATTTTAGTGATGGCAGTACTGCTAGTGAGAAAGTAGTGAGCTTATGACGAGGCCTGTCAAGGATATTCCACACTTTCTAGCTCCCTGTTTTGTCAGAAACTGTCCTGAAACCTACTTCAAGCAAAGTTATATTTACAATTCCTGCTATCTTTGTTGCCGGAAATTTGGGTGTTACATATTGTACATGTGACTGCGTGGATCATGGTGGTGATCCCAGTGTAGTATATGAATTGTCCTTGGTCACACTGATCCATTTCAAGATATTGTTCCTTGTACGTGCAAGAGAAAGACATTGAAAAGATCTGAAGAGAAGAATTCCATGTATCAAGGAAAATGTTTGTAGGATTTCAGGTTTTCACAGAACTAGTTTGACGATGGCTGCACTTCAACAACGCAGAAGACAGTGATGTCTGGATGTATGCTGTTTATCAAACTTGGTATACGGCACATATTACAACATGGTTTTAAAAACAGGGTTTTAATTTCCTGCATTAGAATATTTCTATCTATTTTTTATTATAAATATGATACCCCTCCATGATACTGATAAATTGGCCTTTCTTCGTGGTTCACAGTACATTCGTTGTATCTTGTATGGGTCCATATGCATGTTTGCTATCTAATATGTGCTGGGCAAATTTTGAATTAGGTTTTTTATACGTAATTGCCTTCATGCATTCATATCTTCCTTTAAATGTGCACCCAGCCTGAACTATACATTCTATTTGCAATCTGTGCATATTAACTGGTATATTCTACTATTTTTGGTATAGTCTGTTTGATGATACTGTTTTGTGTGTATTACAAGCTGTTTTTACTTGGTTATTTTAAACATTTTAGTTATAACTCTCATTTAATTGCTTATGAATAAATGTGTCCCATGTTTTAGACCCTTTTCAGTAATATTTTTGTTCCATGGTTTTTGCTTTTGAAATATTTGTTCTCTGTGTACTGATTTGCCTTGCATTTAAGATATAAATGTTGGTGAGTTATACTTGTTAAGATATAGGTTGGCCTGAGGACAGTACATAAAAGAATGAGATGGGCAGGGCATGTGGCACACATGTATCACCGGGTTTTGGTTGGGAAGCCTGAAGGTAAGAGACTGCTGGGGAGATCTAGACCGTATTTTAGCAATTGTATCGGTTCCTCTTGTTTTATATTCATGGGTTTCATACAATACAATACTTTATTTTTCCTGTAGATCAAAAATACATTGATATATGATATGTCAATCTATATTATACATTATCAAAATATAATAATGATTATGATATAATCCCATTGGAGATATAGCATTATATACATTAGATTATCAGTAGGCAATATTCGAAAATTCTTCATTAAGATAGTCTTCTAGTGAATAGTAACACCCCTTAATAAGAAAGTCCTTCAATACCTTCTTAAACTTATTGTTATTTTGTATTTGTTTTATTATGGTAGGCATTTTAATAGAAGACACAACCTGCAACTGAAGGTTTACTGTTGTAAAGTTCTAACTTGTGTACATATTTATGATAGTCATTATTATTTCTTATGTTATATGTATATACTTGTTTGTTTACAGTGCAGACACTTTTCTTTTGCATATAAAATGGTTTCTTGAATGTATAATGAGTATACTGTTAATGCCTTCTCTAATTGATGCATTGATCAATTCTAATAATGGTCTTATCATGTAAGGTACGCATTTCTTTAATAAATAGGGAGAGATATCATCAAGTCCTGCCGATTTCTTATTCTTCAAACTCTGGATTACTTTAATCAATTCAGTCTCTGTTATTTCTAATAAGACCAATGAATCTTTTAGGCTTATTGTACTATTACTAGTTTGGGGAGGCATCAAATTTTTATCAAGTATGAGTTTATTTACAGTTTCTAAGAAAGTATCATTAAAAATATTACATATTCTGCTCAGACTTGTAACTGTTTCATTTCCTGCTTTCAGGTGAATATTGCAAGTCAATGTATTATTTAAGGAGCCTCTTTCTCTATTCACAAATTTCCACAATACTCTAGGAGTGTTATTTGAACTAGTTATAATGTGCTGGATGTAGTTTGCTTTTGCAGTTTTCATTACTACATTATATTTGTTTTTATATATTTTATACTTGTCTCTATGTTCCTGAATCTTACTTTGCATGTAAAGATCATGAAAGTTTTTTTAATTTTGTTCTTGCTGTAATAACATCATTATTTATCCAAGGAACATTTAAAGCACTTACAATGTTTCTTCTAACTTTTGGACAGGCTATATTAAAATACTATAAAAAGAATCCCATTTTTTCTCTACATCATTATACCAGAACAATTCAGTCCAAGTTTCATTTTATATTAAGGAGCAAAGGCCTAATATATTGGCTTCTGATACATTCCTGCCCTCTCTATAGCATCTAATTTGTTGTGGTATAGTCATATTAATAGTTATACATTGAACATAGTGATATGAAAGTAGGCTGTTTATTACACAGTGGAATAGCAGTGTGAGGCCTTTTTGGTAATGATTTGGTCTATAATTGTTGCCGTACTTTCAGTTACTCGAGTGGGTATGTTTATTGTCATGGATTAAAAGCATTTATAACCTCTAGTAACTGTTTGTGGTCACACCCATCTTCTTGAGTATTTATGTTAAAATCACCTACTATTATAATATAACAATCTTTCTGTACTAATTGCTCAAGAATACCTGTTAACTGTATAAAAAAATTCATGTAATACGCCACTTGGTGATCGATATAATGCAATAATTATTATTTTTTTCCTTTCACCTGTTAGTTCTATACCAGCAACCTCAAAAGTTTTTTCTGAAATCCATTTCACAGTTTTATATTGTAATATATTCTTAGAGCTATAAATAGCTATCCCACCCCCTTAATGTTCTTTTCCACAGAAGTGTGAAACTACAGTATTACCTTCTAATGTACATTGCATTATTTCATCATTTATAAGACCCTGTTCAGAAATGGCCAAGATATATGGTGTGGTAGTTTGGAGGAATGCTGTAAATAGCTCAGTTTCATTTTTGAGATATTGTTCATTTTGATGTATTATTTTAAATTATTGCCTGGAGCCATTGAGGTCCAGTCTTTTTTTATTAGTTTCCCTGACTTAAAAACCTAATGCTATCACATCAGAATTGATTTCTCTATTTTTACCTATTATTTTACTTATTTCTTAAGTGACATACTCTTTACCTACTCTATTTAAATGCTGTCCATGCCTTATATGATAAGCTCTACTTATGTTGCTTAAGTCCAGCACTTTTACATTTCTAAATCTTTTACATGCCTTGTTTATGTCCATATTTGCTTTCCTAATTTCCTTACTGACTACTGATTCTTTTATTAAATCATGCCTAATTGGTATATTAAAAACCACAACATTCGTAGTGCAGCAAGTGTTCTCTTTATAGTATTTATACAATTTTTTGTCTCATTTCTAGCAATGTCATTGGCACCTCCCATAATTACTACATGGTCCCGAGAGCCTAATGATGAACAATCTCTTTCACAATTCTTCAATACACCTTTTATCTTAGCACTAGGCCTCACTTCACCATACACTGAGACATCAACATTGTTTTTATACTGAGCGACGTAGGTATATCACGATCGTAGAACATCAGTTTATTTTTATTTTTCAGAGCATTTACCTTTGGGCAACTTGAAGCTTTCCTTGATTGAGTCTCATCAACAACTAAGTTTGTTTCTCGCTGGAACTAGAAACGGTTGAGTAACCTGTTTCTATTTCCTTTAGCTGCATAGCACCAGATAATTTTGTTTACTTGCTTTACTTGAAGACGCGTATCTTGTATTCTTTCATTCTGTAGAACAGATATTATTTGACGCAAAGACGATATTTCCTCGAGCAACTTACGTAGAACATCGTTGTTAATGTGCTGTGTGGTTAAGTTCTCAATTACCAAGTCATCGCGTGATGAGCATAAAAAATAGAGTCATTCATTCGTATGATAACATGTAAACATGGATTAACCAGTTAATGTTTGAAATGGTGAAGTGTGTTTTATTCGACTTATGGACTGACATCTTAAATGTTATGTAGCCAATCCTCGTCTTCAAAGTGCTAATAGCATAGTCTCTGCCATAAATTACTACCAACATCGATCACAGCTGTTAATAATCCCTGTACCTGATTTGCTTCAGGAATAAATTAAAGTAAAGTACGTGTGAAAAGCATTTTGAGAATTGGAGTACTCCTTTAATATGACAGTCGTAAATAATCAGTGGTTATAAGTCGACTATAAGCCTAATAAAGACATATTTTATAATTAGGAAGTTAGGCCAATATAATATAATGCCGTGAATTAATGCTGTGTAATATTAATTCGTCGTTCAAGCTCCGTTGCTGCAAATACCGTAACAAACGTGTTATATTTTAAATTGGTGTGAACAGCGATCTATGTTTATGTTTTCACAGATGTTGTGCTTGTAAATGAACACTAAAATAAAAAATGTGTTATCGGAATTTATCCGGTTTACGTCCACAATAAAGCACTGATTGGAGGAAAGTAAAATTTGGGTTGTGATTGTGGTAACAGATGCCAGATGAGCTGGTGTGCTGGCGCCTTATGACTGGTCGTCTACTATATAGTTTTGTTTCATTATGCTTAGGTCGAGTTAAAACGTAGACGACATACTCAAGACAGCTGTAGATGAAGCTGCGTGGCATTTTGTCCTGAGGAGTGGTAGAAGACGCTAGTTTCCGTTTCGTAGAAGTTGTTCATCATACATTTTTTTACAACATGAGACTGTTACATTATTTAGTATTTTTGATTCTCTACCTCACTGTTGACGCTAGTTCAAGTGAGGCTGGTAAGAAAGGCCCAAAAGTTACAGATAAGGTAAGTCTGGTTTCTCTACAGCTGTACTGTTTCCGCCACTAGAGAGTTCATTTTATATTAAGAGAACGTTAACCCCAAATGTGGGTGTACCTTCGTTATGTATATATTTTATTTTTTAAGGTATGGTTCGATATTACATTTGGAAATGAAGAGAAGCAGAGAATAGAAATTGGTTTATTTGGTAAAACCGTACCCAGAACTGTAAACAATTTTGTTGAACTAGCGAAGAAACCGGAAGGAGAAGGCTATAAGGGCAGCAAGTTTCATAGAGTCATAAAAGACTTTATGATACAAGGTGGTGATTTCACTAAAGGAGATGGCACTGGAGGTGAGTAAATTGGTTGGTAGAAGCATGGTAAGATGGTAAGTTGTTAAATAGACAGACTGAGATCCCTCATTTTTTGACTGTATAGCATTATTGTGATTTCGTCTAGTAGTGAATACTGATGTCAAAATAATTTTGTTCCTATTATAGAAATATGTCAAATAGCCTCATTTACACACTACAGAGATTGCTGTTTTATTGTAACAGTGTAAAGACAAATGTATATTGATGTTTATACCATATATTTTGTTAATTGTAATTTTATTACAAAGTAATCTTTGTCCTGAGGTATTGGCACTTATTCCCTTCCAAGAGCAAAGATTCCATTTATCCTTCTCATTCTTCCTTGGTCTTCCATGGCCTCTTGACCTATAAAGTCTTTATGTAATAACTGCTGTAGTTATACATCATCGTGGCATTGGTAGCATGTGTTTCTGGTGGTACTTAACCAGTTTTGTGAATTACCTACCCTAGTTTTTTCCAAACTTTTACTGTTTTAGAATCTTGAAAAAACTTGTTGGAGGCCCAGGCTAATAAAAACAAAATACATATATTGGACTTAAATGTGGTGAATCAAAACCCAAGGATATTAAGGAAACAAGTCAACTCATAATGTAATCAAACTGGATTTTGTAAAGCAAAGTTTAGGGCCACTTGCTTGGTAATATCAGTAATTCTACTACTTTGAAATAGTATTATGGAGATGGAGTTATTTTCTGCTTGACTGCGTGTCATTAGTTGAAACTGAATTCTCATGCCAGGTACAAGATCCAGTGTTGGAATGTTTTGGTTTTGTGGCCACATACCTTGAAAATCCTACTTCACACAGATACGTTGTTGAAGAAGGGAGAAATTTATTCATTGCAGATGTAGACCATTGAGAATGTTTTTGGAGGAGATCATACTAGAATTCATCCAACGGTACCTGATCTAATTTCTGTTTCAGTGTCAAATCAGAAGTAATGTCTGTGAAACTCTTGCAATTCTGAACTGACATGTATTGTTTCTCCAGAACCAAAAACAGGTTTCTGACCCATAACAGTCGTGAATTTTTCTGAACATCAGTTTGTTATAATTCTTGATACTTGTGTTGTAAGTCTACTTTTGGAAACATATAATTGATATAGCGTGCCATTCATTTTCAGCGATTTTCATAACCAAAGGAATAATGTGGAGAATGCAGGTTAAAATGGTGAATATGATAGTTGGAAGGCAAACTTTCATAAACATTGGACCAGTAGACAGAGCTGAATACATTTATATTACATAGACCACTAATGTATGTAGAATTTAATTTAACCCTTTAAACTTCATCATATGTGTATTGTCTTTTGTGCAGTTTTGACTGGCTGTGCATCACACTAGCATTCTGCTAAAATGTCCCCCCCCCCCCAATTTAAACTGGTCATCAGCCCCATAGTATGGGGAGTTTGAATTGCCTTTTCCTTTGTGGTAAAGGTTAAAGCATATTGGAAACTATATATACCACCTGTTTTAACATTATGCAACTGCACTTTGCCTACAAAGTGTATTCATGGATTCTCTATCATTCTCAGAAGAAACAGTGATTATTTTCTTAAATACCAGTAACCGGTTTATGTTTGATTTTTTTTATCTTTAATGTAGGAACTAAATTTTGATACACTGTTTAGATAAACTTGTGTTTCAAAGGATAAAGGGACCATAACAACCATGATCCATGTGTGATTCATGCATGATCCATTTTTAGAAGAATATATGGCAGTTTGATTAAAGTATCAAGAACATGTATGTGGGCACTTAAAGTTTAAATCTTTCCACAAATTTAAGTGGTGGGTCAGGATAGCTCAATCACTTAATGACTAGGCTAATGGAATTTGATTCTGAGCAGTTTAAGGCTAATATGAATACACATAATATCCTTTTTTTTGTGTCAGAACTCTTTTCTGAGATTGAAGTTCTTACATGAGTGGAGATGTCAGTGGAGATCTTGGTTGTGATACTGTTTGAATGTGGTTACCAGTGTTTAGGAGGAACTCATTACCTTAATCTGTAAGGTAAAATGTGTAAAATCACTTTATCAGGTTTGGGCATTTTTATTTTGCAGGCCGAAGCATTTATGGAGAACGTTTTGCAGATGAGAATTTTAAGCTGAAGCACTATGGTGCAGGATGGCTTTCCATGGCGAATGCTGGCAAAGATACAAATGGATCACAGTTTTTTATAACAACTAAACAGACACCTTGGCTAGATGGAAGACATGTTGTTTTTGGGAAGATTCTGAAAGGAATGGTTAGTATTAGACTTGCGTATTTATGTCGTGAAGCGTCGTCAAACTGGATGAAGCATAAACATTTGTATGAACAATTATTTAATTAAAGTTTTTTTTTCTGTATATGGATTTTCGTAAACTTGATATTTCAGGATTTGATCAGAAGAATTGAGAGCTCCAAGACCGATAGCCGCGATCGTCCCGTTAATGATGTGGTTATTGTAGATTGTGGAGCCGAAGAAGTGAGCGAGCCATTCTCTGTCTCAAAAGAGGATGCCACAGAATAAAATCCTTTTGACAACAGCTGAGAGGAATTATACGTGCGACCATTAATTGAATTGAATTGAATTTAATTGAATCAGTTAAACTTGCATGGAGTTACCTTGGATTCCATGTCACTGATAACAGACTTCATAGCTATAATTTTAAATTAAACTGCTTCTTTTTTTCCCCCTGTCAGAATTTGACGCTCTCTTGCAGCCATCGACTAGAGGTGTGCATATGCAGGATCCACATGAGAGTTTTCATAACCTGTAAAATCTTTACCAAAATTTAAGCAGTATTTAAGATCTTACCACACTTTTGTAATGGGTTGTAACATTTATTTTTTCTAATTTTTGATGTTTGCATCATACAGAAATTAAGTAGTTTCGTTTTAAAATAAAATCATATTCCTGAACTAACAGTTTTGTTACAAATTTCTTATAGAATAGTTTCACATTGAAATGTTAATGTTGCTGATTGTCCTAGTTTTAAATGGTGTGTGAGCAATATTGTAAATCATTTATATTGTGGTTACAGTAATACATAAGTCAATTCATTGATAAGCCTACACGAAATGAATGTGGAGCAAACAAAGAAAATTAAGGTAAGATAAATATTTTGTACTTGGTTTTGTGATTGCATATGCAGTATGTGTATGTTACTATTAAGCTTAACAAAAGGGTGCATGGTAAAATGTGAAGCAATAAAACATTATTGATGAAGAAAATTGTGTTCTTAAGTAACCCTGTAAATATTTCTAAATTGTGGCATTGTTTTTGATTTAAAATGTTCACGGAGGTGAGGGTTCGGATTATTGCCTTCTGACGCTCGCGTTGTTTTTCAAAATGTTGGTAACCGCCATAGTGACTGAGTCTTCGCACTCTTGCAACCCAGAAGACCACACTCATGTTAATGATTGTTATTTCATATACTGGCAAAACATTCACGGATTTCGTTACGGGTGATGTTTACATTTGCTGGAAGTTACAGTTAAGTGCAAAACACTCCTGTCATGTCTTATATAATATTTTTGTAAACTGAGCAATTTCAAGAAGATCATAGGAAGAGATTTGAACATTACATTATTGTATATGTAACTTTCCAGTACCATGTGGAACAGGTCTTGTGTTGTTTATTGCAACTGAGTATGTATATTACTACACAAGCTCAACTGAGAGGGCCTCCACAATTTTCTCAATTTGGCTCTCCTAGACATCAGTTTGCGGTCAGAACACTAGGCTTGTAATCCTAGGGTCCCAGGTTTGATTCCTGGTGGTGCTTGGATTTATAACTTGTGTTGGGCAAGGTCATGGTCCAGGTATCACAGAGTTTTCTTTCAGGGCTTCCCCGATTTCTCCATGGCATCCCAATAATTACTCCATTTTCATCATCATTTGATATTAAGCACACGGAAGAAGGCAGTGGCAAACCACTTCTGGATAATTTGCTAAGGAAACATATGAACAGGTCCCTGTCAGAGGGAACTTGTTCATAATGTCACCAGGGGTCGGATCCGATCCGATGGTAGTTTGTTTTTTTAAAAAAAACACATCAGTTCAGCCACAGCCACAGATGAACAAGCCGTACTATCACTCCCCAAGTTTCATTTATAGTGCTTTTCTCATAGTAGATCTGAAGGTATCGTTTGTTATTTAACCCATGTTCTTCAAAAGCTTCTTCCTCATTCACAGACAAGCCCAACCCCCAACCTCTAGGACCAGACCTCCACATTTACAGCCCCCCAGATATAGGGTGGCCCAGCTATACCCCCAGGCACTGGGTACCTTGGGGGTGCCAATCCCTGTACCCACTGATGTGGGTCCCTGAGGGGATGCAGGAAGTTGGAAGGGGAAAAGGCACAGCAGACAGCATGGATCAGCAACTACTACCAAAGCAAAAACATTTACTCATTACTTTACAGTGGCACACTACACAAGCATTTCTGAACTGATGCTATGCTACTGTGTTAAACAGCAGACACCTTTCCTCCTCCACCCTGAAAGTCTTAAGATTACAGTCGTGAACAAGGACATCCATATCTTTTTACTGGTTCCTTCAGACTACTTCAGATCATTTCTGATATAAAAGATGCCAATACCATTTTATTTGAATTGTTAGAAAACTGAGTTGTGTCACGTGAATCCTGTACAATTTTCTGAGCTGTTACAAGCTGTTTCTGTGAAATTTTTAGTATATTAGTACAGCAATAAAGTTTCAGGTGCATAGTCACGCTGCATTTTACATTTCCATCTGCTGTAATTAACAATTTCTGTTTGTTCTACCACATGGCCCAGTACAGTAGGCAGTTTAGAGGTTATGTTGGGAACTCCTCACAGCACCTGAGGGAATCAATGGAGTTCACCCCATCAAGTCCCTCCATGCTGGTTCTGATGACATCCTTATCAGTTTGAAGGTGTCTTGCTCTTTAACTTGATGCCCTTACAGATAGAAATTGAAGTGCATATATAGCCATTACCAGTCAGTTATGGAGGACACTACACAGCCATTATAAGTCAGATTTTGAGGCCCCTCTGTACTGATTACACCAGGCAAGTATCAAGGCCTCTATACAGCCCTATATATGCATGAAACCCATCAGCTATGCTGGTGTCTCTATAGCCATAACAGAACTCAGGTGCATAGGGCCCAATACATCCCTTGTAACAGTCAAGTACTGAGGGCAATATAAAGGCATTATAAAGTCAGGTGTGGAGGCCACTATATAGCCATTGTGCCAGTCCAGAATAGAGGCCTCTGACTATCCATTATAACAGTCAATTATGGATATGTGTATAGATAATACACAAGTCATATAGAGTTTATAACACTTATCGATGGTCCTATATATTCATTATAAAAGTAAAGCATTGAGTCCTCTGACCATTTTAGCAGTGAGATATGTAGGCCCTTATGCAGCCCTTAAATCAGTCGGCTATGAGGACGTCTTGATAGGTATCGTGGCCCCTCTATACCCATTATAGAATTTGAGTATTCAGGTCTCTATACACTATAGCCAAAGACCAGTAATGTTTGGCGGCATCTGTAGTCATTATACCATTCATGTGTTGGGGTGGATTTGTTCATATTACCTTTATACCAGTTGGACACGGAGGTCCATATTAGACATTACACTAACCGGGTAATGAGGCCTTTCATTATAACAGACATCAGGTCCCTTCTTCGCCAATACACCAGTAAGTTATGGAGGCATCTTTAATGCTACTGGAACAGCCAATTATGGAGGCCCATTCTTATAGCCATTGTGCTAGTCAAGTGGAGGGGGGCGGGGGCAAAAATAATCATCATGAAAGTCTGGTGTGGAGGCCTCCATATCACCATTATGTAATTCAGTTATGCAGACCCCGACATATCCATTTTCAAGTAGGTTATGGAGGCATTTTTAGTCATTTTAAGAGTCAAGCATGAATGCCCTTAAATAGCAGTTACATCAGTCTTATATGGAGGCATCTATATAATATAAAGTCTCTAACACCTCACTGTGCTCATACCAGCCAGTTATTGAGGCACCTATGTACTATTATGACAGCCATGTGTGATCATTACACCAGTCATATGTGGAGTGAGATTTTTTGCCAGTCAAGTATTGAGGCTTCTGTTTATCAATTATGTATTGGTCTCTGTACAACCAGTGTTCACAGTGAGGTTTCTAGATCACTATGGCCATTGTGCCAGTCCGATATTGTGGTCTCTATGTAAGCGTTATTACAGTCAGGTATGGGAGCCCCTAAGTGAACATTATAGAATGCCATTATAGCAGTCAGATATACGGGCATCCTTGTCTATCATACCAGTCCGCTGTGATGGCTTTTGTATACAAATAAAGTATAAATTCTAAAGGCCCCCGTGCAGGCGTTATATCAGTCAGCTGCGTTGGTGTCTTTACAGGAATTATACAAGTCAATTACGAATGCGTCTATTTAGCCGTATGCTATTCAGGTATGAAGGCCGCACATGGGCATTGTACCGGACAGGTGTGGAGGCCGTAGAAACCCACTGCATCACGTAAGTTTATAGGCCTCTGTGTAGCTATTATAACAGTTGGATATCGAGACGTCTTTATTGTCAAATAAGCAGTTATTAATTGAAGCCCCTATATATCCATCCTACCAGAAATTAATTCATGCCTCAGAATAACGAATAGAATAATGACTAATGGAAGTCGCTGTACAGTTATAATAAGACTAAGTTCTGATAGTGCGTTTTGAGCTGTTGAGCCTGCCATATATGAAGGTGTTTATAAAGCCATTGCTCCGCTTATGTGAAGAGACATATTTTTACTATTGAAGGCGTCAAGGTAGCCCTGAGACTAATCAGGTGAAAAGGCCCCTACATGACCATTATAGGTGTCGGCTATGGACGTCCCTAAGTATCCATTACAGCAGTCAGGTATCGAGATACCTTCCCTGCCATTATGGAACTCGGGTGTTGAGGCTCCTATATAGGCATTATACTAACTAATCAGGTATTATGGCTGCCATATGTCAATTTTCCCAGTCATGTTTGGAAGTCTCTTTATAGTTATGAAACTAGACATCGAGGCATCTATATAGGGTAGAGGCCTCTTTATCCGTTCTAGCATTAATGTGTGGAGGACTGTATATAGCCATTGCACAAGACGATTATCAAGAAATCTGTGTAGCCATTTTACAGTACGTAAGGAGGTAAGGAGGACCCTACGTAGCCATTGCACCCTTCATGTAGATCTCGTTCAAGAACCAATGTGCCAATTTTCACCAAACATGGCATACATATTTATATCAGGAAGAGATCATATCGGGATCAAAATTACGGGGAAAGTGTCCTGAATTCGATTCCCTTTGACGGTGCTTTCCGTAGCTTGGAAACTAAGCATGATAGAATAATGGATCCAGGACAGAAGTAATTTATTTCCAAGAAGTGATTGCAGAAAAAAGTTCGGAACTCCGAAAAATTATTCTGGGTTTGATTCCCAGTGAGGATATTTTCTGTCGCTCGGATAATAAGCATGACAGATGAACGGCGTCGGGACCAAAATTATTTCGAAGAGAAGATTATAGAAACAGACGCCACACCACCGAGAAGTCCTGGGTTTGAGTCACAGCCAGGAAGTTTTATGTAGTTCAAAAATTAAGCACGAGACAAGAAGGGCGCTGAGGCAAAATCTGTTCTTTTCGGAGAGTAGATTAGAGGATGTAAGGAACAAACCCGAAATCTCTCTTGTATTCGGGTCTTGGTGAAGTTTTAGAATTTCAGTCTCTGGGTGGCGTAAGGCACGTTGTTGACAAACCGACGCAAAGTTTAGTGACGCCGTAAAAGACGCCAAAAATATCGCGTATGAATCTAGGGATGACATTTGACACTAAGCTGGAAAACAGACGCCAAGCACCGCGTCACAGACTCCGAAACGCAAATAAATCCAACAGAAATCTTCGAACGCGAAGTGCAGTGATTGTGACGAACGGCGGACGTCTTGACGATAGGCGTTGAGACGTCGATTACGAAAAAGGAAAAGAAGCCAATGAAGGCCTCCGAACACATTTTGACGGATGCTAACAAACAGAAGCCGAGCGTGACGACGCCTCCAAAGAGCCAGCGTGAGGTTCAGAATTACACTGAAAACAGAGTCGATATTCTCGATCCAAATCGTTGCTACACTGACACGAAACGACATATTTAGCACAGATGAACATGAGTGCCTTCGAAAATATGGAAAACGGACGACAACCGTTGCTTTGCCTCAAGTAGCGTCTACGGAAAAATACGTTCTAGCCGCGGGAGGGCATCGGAATTACATTGGACATGTTAACCACCTACATAATGCAGAAGATCACAATCCACGGTATTTGTTTAGTACGTTCCTTGCTTTATAAGGACACATTCGAATAGGTTATGTAAAAGAATAAAGAAAAGTAAAAATATGTTTGCAAATGCAAGAGGCCATTAATAGTTTATTTATATGAAATTTGAGTGGGTAATAAATTGTAAGGGGTAGGACTCGTATCTTATAACCTCTTGTACCCAAATGTCAACTTCACCTTCCTGTGGTATGCCCCGTTCCTACTAAAGAGGCTCTGGCAACAGAGTCATGGCTGCATAACCGTTTCAGCTGGTATTGAGGAAATGACGATAAAGCAGCCGAAAGATGGCAGCCCCATCACTGGACTGCTCATCGGAAGGCTAGAACCTACCATGGGGAAGTCGACTGATACTTGCAAGCCACACAAAGAAACAGTCGGGAACATCTGCTGTTGACGACGTGGACTGAGAGAGGAATTTGTTCTGAAGAGAAGGAACTACGTCACTTATTAACGGGAAGTGAAATTAAAATTGCTGTGATAACAGAAAGCAAGAAAAAGTTAAAAGGAACTAAAGACACCAACAATTATTCTGTTATTTACAGTGGAGTAAGGACAAGTGTCCGTGTCTAATCCGAAGTCATGATTTGGATCCATAAATCATAGTCAGAATCAAGAGGATTTTACGAATATTGAAATGACAGAATTGCAGAAATAAGATTTGAAAATAAAAAGGGGCTACGTCACTATTTCAGGACTGCATGCACGGGCTCAATGACGAATTTTATGAAGAACTACAATCAATTTTAAACTAAATTAATGAAAATTACGATCTCTTATCGATGGTTGAACTAAATGCAAAGACTGTAAACATGAAAGTAAATAACATTATTGGAGCGAACGTGGAAGCTACGGTTAATAAAAATGGATTTCTGTCAATTTAATGAACACTTTCTTCAAGCTAAAGAAATATCCAAATTTGCGTGGAGCTCAAAAAGAACGAAATAAATAATTGATAAAAACATTGCAAATCAGAAAAGCTAAAAAATGATGCACAAAATCATCACTCCCTCTAAGATGGAAAAAAACAAGAAAAACTACAAAGGTCCGGGAGAAGATAATTTAAATTGAGAATTTTACAAATTCTCAACAGACAAGGTCCTTCAGATTTAGTCAGTCACTTTTGAGTCTTGTAATTCAACCTTCTTCAACTCCAGGTTCAGCCTCTGAAGATGAAGACAGAATGTTCCACTAAAACGCTGTAAGTCCACATAGTGTTACGTACCAGAGGACCATAATCGAAACCTCAACCTTGTCTTGAAAGCACGTTCTTCTGTTTGTTAAAATGATTCACAATGGAAAAAAAAAATTTTGAAGTATTTTTACCACGCCCCTACAGTAGAATCTTTCCTCTGCTTTTATTTTGAATTTGTGTTGTTGTTACAAATTATATTATGAGCTATAGTTGGTAATTGAATCTATCAAGCGGGAATAGTGGGAGAGCATGGAACTAACTAGTAGACGCAACATAACTCCGAGCTTGGACGATCGTTACAAAAACACACATAAGAGTGAGAGGGAGAGAGCGAAGCGATAGCACGTAAGGAGAGACAAGCCACCTCTTCCTTGTACTATCATTGTTTGTTTGGTTATGTCACTAAATACAGTGTTTGAAATCGGTGTATCAAAATGCTACAAACAAAATCGAAGTTAATATGTGGGACAAAATGCTCGCAGTTGAACTGCACATGCGCAGACAGACTCTTTGTCGTCTCGCTCCCTCCTTCTTCCCGTCGCAGAAGCTTCTGCGCCCAGTTGTACTTTCACTGCTTTGCTACAGCAGAGAGGTGACGAACATCGCGTTGCACGTGCAGACCCACACTCAACAGACGTTGATCGAGGTTACGTAAGCATTAGTGACATAAACATGATTCATCACACCATCATCGCTTTATCTTTGCAACAAATCTCCTGGATCATGGCTATCGAGTGTCTCCTTCTACGAAAGACCGCGAAATAAATATCAAGGACAGCGACAAGACTTTCTTTTTTGTTCTTCGTAACAATTTGACATAATTCTGTGCGATCTCAGGTCATTCATGGTGTTCTGTTAAGAAAGGAAATATGTGTCACTCAATGCAGTTTACGTGGCGTCATTAAATAAACCTTCAAAGATTTTTCATATACTCTTATTTCATTCGTACAGTGACTGGTCCTGCTGTCAACCGACGAAGCTCTGTACTAATCTGAGTAGAGTGCGCTTTTCAGCCATAGTTATCACGCGTTCTTTTGCACGAAATGCGTACCGAGAACGCACAATGGCCCGGTAGTGTCTGTCCGTCCGTCTATCCAATCAACTCTAGAATCACTGAATGGACATGGATTAAATTAGGTGTGGAGGTTGTACTGTTCTGCACGACCTCAAAACCTTACTTTGAATATCCTACGAGAGTTGATACAAAAATTACGGACGAGATAGACATTGAGGTGCTGCGATCTGGTCGCCAAAGTGGGAACTGTCGAAGTACACTTTCCGATCTTGTAAACTGGAGTTGATGGATTTGCAGAGCTGTGGACTGAAATTCAAACGTGCTTGAAGGAATTGTAAAATTAAAATTAAAAAAAAAAAAGAGATCTTCCACGTGTCAGTGACAAACACTGATAGTCTCTATTACAACTGCGAGAAGCCAACATAATGCATGTGTCTAGACGAATATCCATACAAGTACAAGCCAAGATTCTTCTTTATTTCCTGTTCCGCAATTGTCGGTTTGTTAGTAGAACGCTAAAGAGCAGAGTGTTTATTAAGAAGTTACTAAGCTCACCCAGAAATTCCATACATTTCACGAGACCTAAAGTTCTTTACCTTGTCATATCGTTTCGACCTTGGTCCCTATCCTGAACCAGTCTCAGCCTCAAATTCTGTCAATTTTAATATTATTCTCCAATCTACGCCCAAATCTTCCGAAAGGTCTCTTCTCTTCGTGTTTTCCGCCTAAACATTTCATGTGTTTCAACTTTTTCATGCGTGCTACATGCATCTCCTTGTTCATTCCATTAATTCCAGCATCCTAATATCTGACGACGAGTCAAAAGATGAACCTGCTGTTTCCTATTTGATAATAATTACAGAATTTTGTGTTTGTATTTCCGTTCATTACTTAACTCTCTCACTGGAATAAAGTCACCGTTCTCTTACGAACACCCTATACTAAGATTCGGGTCAATATTCTACTTTCCCCATGTGTTTCTGGTTGACCTAGTGATGTGAAAGGCATCCAAACGCAAGTTTCAGTTCGTTAACCTCGTTCGACACACATTTAAAACGTTTGTTGGCAAAAATGTTATTCGAAACTAGAAAATTGTTAGGATCTGGTTAAGACGACATTAATAATAAAATCCCACGTTCTTTTCATGGTCGACATGCACATTTATTTACGTGTAACACAGAACTTATAAAAATAACAGGTAATGTGGATATATTCAGTCTTTGGTTGGCATTCTGGAAATTGAAACCTCACACTTCTTACCGATATTTAAACCCTGACTGTAAATAAATAGGGACTTGCACATTACATATATAATAGTAAGTTCACAGGCATACGATAACTGTTATCCTCACAGAGGGCGGATAGTGCACACTGGACACGGATCCTAGTGTCAGCCCACAGACAAAATGGCCGCGATTTGCTCTCGGTAACCACAATGGAAGCCGCGAGTCCCGTCCGGCCCGCGTGGTAGCCTAACAACATTGTCCGGTAGATGCGAGGCACCACTGTTGCTTCGAGGACGATTACTGTCCGATGATACGCCACTGTTGCACCGAGACCGGACGTAGGGGCTGCAGCTGCCGGCGTCGGACACCACGCTGTTGCAACGAGACCTCCCGTACAGGCTGGAGCTGCTGCTCTCTGAGCCAGAGTCCCTGTTGTACGCCAGACGACGCTGCATCCAGTTCGAGGGCGGGGTGCCCTGGGTGGGGGGCCCGCTCGACGTCGAGAAGCAGCGTCGCAGCGACCTGTGCCTCTGGCGACTGTCCTGTTCGGCCTCGGACCCACTGGCACAAGACGAAGAGTACTCCGTCTCGAAGAAGCGGGCGAGGGCGGTCTTCTTGGTGGGCATTGACCTCCTCTTGGCGCGCTCTGGGGCGTTCAGCTCCACGACCGTTATGCCTAAGCTGTGTCCTTTCCAATCCCTGTCTGGCGACTGCACGGCCCGTTTCGCCGACTCCGTATGCACAAACTCGACCAGGGCGCACACGATACCTTCCAGCTCGGGACGTTTCGCCACGAAGTTTCGGACGTCTGCCGGGACAGGATTTCCGGGCCGCAGAATCCGGACCAGGGCGATTTCTCCAAAGCAGGAGAACAGTTCCGCCATGCTCTCTATGGTGGGCTTGTCATAGGGGAGGTGCATAGCCACCACGGTTCGATAAGGCGTCGTTTCGTCGTATTGTGGTAACGGCGCCAGGCGCCGAAGTTTCGTACCTGCCTCGTTGATCTGAAGCTTGGTGGAGCGGGCAAGTGCACTTGCGACCACGCGCCAGTCTTTGGAGAGGTGTTTCACCCTCTTGAAGGTGGAGATCAGCTTCAGAGACACGAATCCCTCTTTATTACGTTTCACGTGCTTCAGCAAGAACGGGTCCTTCGTGATGTTCACGTCTGAAAAGTAGAATTCCACCTGCGACACGATCCGGTTCGCCAGTTCATCATCCGGTGGCACAAACGGTGGTTCCTGGGGCTTGTCCGACACCTCGCAGCCGGAGTCTTTACCCGTCGTAGAGCCTGTATCAGACCCGCAGTCCGACTGGTCTGCCAAATGGGCCCCCTCATCGTCCCCAGAACCTGGGGCTACTGCGGTGGGCTCCCCGTTGCCGTCATAGGTTAGCGATATGTCGCTGTCGATGGAGGATATGCTATCCCGGGTATCGGAGTGCTTCATCGGCGGCGGTGAGACAACCTGGTCCGTGATTGCTATATAGTCTTTTTCCTTCGGAGGCGACATTGGAACTTCACTCGTAAACCAGTACAAGCTGTGAAAGTACTGCAATCCCTACTTGCACTGCGCAGAAGCTACGCGCAGAGCCAAGTGACTAGAGCAATGCTCGCAGTTCGCCAACTGGCTCGTTAAAGTAGACCGTTGATCCCCACTACATCGGCCAGCGATGTTAGCAGCTGAACTGAACACGCCGGTCGTCTCTCGAGCTGCTTATAAACCACGCCACGGCCACAGTGACACATGCGCGGGAGGCGATAATCGATAATCGATTGCTCGACGAATACAGCGTTTATACAACAAATAAATCTCGTACAGACGGAATTCACATCTCAATTTTTATTTTGAAGTTTAATATGGCGGATATACTGTTTACACTGACGACATAAACATTATTAAACACTGAATTTATTCTCTTGGTCGATAACTTTACTGTTTAACAAAATCTTTTCTACTGCAGAGGTTACATTGTATCAAAACCAGGATTTAAAAGGCCTCGGTTGTGAAATATTTCCACTACTTAAGGCACAATGGTAACTATGCATACCACTTACTTTAACATTAAACAACTCTACATTTTGTCTATGTATTATTATTTATTTATTTATTTACTGAAATTGGGTTTGCACCTGGTGGCAGTTGTCCTTACACTACACAATTACAACAAAATAAATACAATAAAAACAAGTACACTCCATAGAACACTCTATACACATAATTAGAACATCCACATTTCAAAAACACACATCCTTTAAGTAATCTCAATACTTTAGAGTAACCTCAAATATAAAGTCAGACCCCAATACGTGATAATTTTATCCCAAAGAACTAAAGTCACTTCATCACTTGGAGAATAAGACACTTCCCTTATCACCATCTATTCCCCTCTTAATAACCCTGTTTTCAAGCCCGGCCCCCCGTGTATGCTTTCAAAAGGGCGCCCATTCGGGCTATCAATCTTCGCTGTGCCAATGTTTCCCAACCAGATTCGTTCGTGAAATTTGCAAATTTAGCCGCTCTCTTCTGCACCCGATTTAGGGCTCTTACCTGTCCTTCCCTGTAAGGGTCCCAACACACAGCTCCATATTCAAGTATCGGTCTCACTAGCGACGTATAAGCTAAACGTTTCGTATTGTTATTTCCCTTTTTGAGTATTTATGGGTTCCGTACAAATCTGTAAATAAACAAGGATTATTTTCATTAAAACATCATTAACCAACTGATTCTTTTAATGGATTTGAGTGTGTTTTCCTATTTAGATGAGTTTCGTGCTTTGGAAAAGAAAATGGAGAAAACAATGCACACTTGAGTATTCATTTCTCGGTAGGCAAAGAGTTTTTCGCATTCGACAGTCAGTAACGCGAGAGGCTACGGACTAACGTCCGCGATTCGAGCCCCAACAGGCACAGAAATCTTTCTTCTCCTAAAATGACGGTGAAAAGGCCTAAATATTATATTGATGTTATTAATTGCTACGAAAATCATCATTTATATAAAAATGAAATAAAATCTGCACATGTCTATGTCAAAATTAGTTTTCATTTTCAAAGTTTTCGTCTAGCATTTCAGTTGTGCATCGTATTGATACGATCCGGAATAATCCACAAATCCAACCACGCGGATTGTACAGTGCAGCAACTACTCACATTTCAACGCATAAATCATTCTAAACTTCATAGAAAACTGCGTACTGATATTATTTTAACAGTATATTTGAACGTCATCAATTATCTGTCATTTAAATTACACCAAATGTAAGAACTGAGTGTTCTACATTTCACCAGATTTCAGAGACTTTCTCTGCCCTCACTTTCAGGCAAGAACTGAGGAAGGTGCCTACTCTACGGGGCCCGTTAAACCAAGCAAACCTCCATCAGTGGGCCCTCGGAGTAATTACATTCTTGACTTATTACCTGAAGACAGTGGCAAAGCCAGATTCTGAAACGTAGAAATTAATTTTACAATTTTTAAAACTGGTGCAATTTAAAGAATTATTGACTGATAATCTCCGAATAAAACATCACTATAATAAGATACGATTCCATTATGGATTATTGAAAGTCGACGTTAAAGACCCGTTCATTGTTTGTGACGTCGAAACGCTCATTTGTCAGTAATTAAGTGAAAAATGCGTCAGTGCTGTCTTTCAAGTTTTATTACACACGTTCTAGGACATGTATCATCTGAAACAATAGTTTTATTTCTTATTTGTGTACGGGTGTGAAACCTGATTTCTCGTCCTGAGGGAAGAACGCGTGTCCGAGAAGAAATGACAAAAGAATGGAGAAAATTGAAGTCACGAGCGCCACAGTTTCTATGCTTGGCCGCATATTCTTAGGGCGCTCGAATAAAAGATAGTGAGATTAACAAGCATGTAGCACGAATGTGGGAGATGAGAATTGCACACAAAACTTCGATCGGAAAATATGAATTGAGGAAACAACGGACTTGTGCTAGACGTAGATGGGACGAAAACGCTGAATAGATGTTGAGAAATTACGATGGGAGTCTGTGGACTGGGTTCACTTGCCTAAAGTTTGAGGTCCACTGGCGAGATTTGTAAACGTGGCAATGGACCTTCGGACTCCATAAGAATCGAGGAATTTCTTGACAAGCTCAGCGACTATCAGCTTCTCAAGAACGACTCTGATCCATGGACTTGTTACGCTGTTTTCTTGAGCGAATGCAAAGTGTTCATATTCCAAACCTACGACACGTTTTCTGGGAATTATTTTTCTGTCCGGGCCCTAACTCGCTGTCTGTTGTAAGTGTACAGATTTTGACATGTAAATAATTTGTAGAGGCCTTACGCAGGAAACGATTGTATTGCAAAACAGACCGCTGGATTTCCGACTAGTCCACTATCTCCGCGAATTTCCAGAATACACGCGTCATCATGTAGCCTTTGTGAGTGAGTATAATTTTCCATAACAGTCGATTATCTCGTCGATAGCGCAGTGTGTACGTAACAAGATGAATGCGATAGGACCTATCAGCAAAATCTGTCTTTCGTCCCCTTGATTGTTTCATTCATGGTGTGAAATATAAGCAGATGAGACACTTTGAGGTAAGCGTAAGGAGTTTGAGATGTTCCCGGAACTTCCTACGCAAAACAGTTTCACGTAGGTCCTTCATCTTGTTACGTACACACTGCGCTATCGACGAGATAATCGACTGTTGTGGAAAATTATACACACTCACAATGGCTACATGATGACGCGTGTATTCTGGAAATTCGCGGAGATAGTGGACTAGTCGGAAATCCAGCGGTCTGTTTTGCAATACAATCGTTTCCTGCGTAAGGCCTCTACAAATTATTTACATGTCAAAATCTGTACACTTACAACAGACAGCGAGTTAGGGCCCGGACAGAAAAATAATTCCCAGAAAACGTGTCGTAGGTTTGGAATATTTACACTTTGCATTCGCTCAAAAAAAAAACCAGCGTAACAACTCCATGGATCAGAGTCCCTCTTGAGAAGCTAATAGTCGCTGAGCTTGTCAACAAATTCCTGACGTACGTCCCAACTTCCTACCCATCCGTTCCCTTGCGTCCTTATCAATTTGGTAAACAGTGCAGGTAAAGTTGTCGTTGTTGCTAAGCTCTGAGCAGTGAAGACGTATTGGGGAGTCCAGGTTCAGCCCCATACATTCTTTTTCTCGACACTAGATGGAGATAAGTGCTGCCGTCGCTTTATCCCGAGGGAAAAATTTAAAAATCAATCGAATAGGAGACTGTGGGGGTCCCAGAGCCAGTTTCGAGAAAACTTCGGCCCTGTCAGGAAACAAACCCCTGTCACCCAGAACGTGGTTAAGTCGCCACACTGACTATATATTATCTAGGCTCTTGATTCTTCTCAGCGCCTGTAGCAGATGTTAGGACAGTGATTGCCTTCCACGTTTTCTAAATTCGTATTTCACAAAAATTCTCTCGAAAATATTTACTTAAATCAATTTTGTTAAATAAGTGAAGGAAGAATTAACTAATGTGTATGCCAGTTCCGTGGTACAGAATCTTCGTTTAGAAGTTTATAATTCTGTAGATGAAGAAACGATCATCTGCCCTGAAGCCCTCGTGTTCACTCACAACTTGATCACTGAACTCGACACTGCACTGCGCATGCGTGTGAACTGGATTCAGCTATAGTCGGCGCAGTGGTTTTTGGCCGGTGGAATTTTCAAGGGAAAGGCTAGGAGCGAGTCTCGGACTGAACGCCCAAACAAAAGAAATACGCTGACCGCGCCACCTCAGGTACACAGAGTAGGCCCGTCCGCCAGCTCCGCTAGCTTCTCCACCGGCCAAAAACTACTGCGCCTGCTATACCTTAGGATAGGAAACAGTTGAGCAGCGCTCCGTAATGATTGGTGGAGTGAATATTAAGTTCTCGAAGGAATGCGCCCCGTTTAATCATATCTGGCTTTTTGTCTGTTGTCATATTTATCTGTGTGGGTTCGTGTGTTGATAATTCTGGGTTTCCAGAGGCCTCATAAACTTCTGTTTTGGTCCGTGAACAATATAAATGATACAATATTGTGTGTAATTTAAGGAGACAGAAATAAATACCTGTAATTACTTTGCTAAGAATCCTTGCCTGTTTATAATTCATGATAAAACGATTATAAGAAAACAGCTACTCTGTTGGAGCAGAATAGTTAAATTATCCAAAAGTGAAACATGTCATCCTTTGAAATCATGAAATGTCTCACGCTTTCAATGATAACTTTCTTCTTGATAACTTTAAAATGAGTTAACAGATGTCAGCACAAACGAAAATTCGTAAAAGTTTCGTTATTGAGCGGAATCACTGACTGAGACTTCAGCTGTACGTAACAGCGCCCACATGCACTCATTACACACAACTCAAGATGGCGCTGTTAAGTACATTGGAGTTTGCAGCCGGCATCTTGAAGGTAAAAGCCCTGAAAGACCTTGGCTGACTCCCAAGTTTGAATGGGGTCAAGTGCGACTGCATATATCACGAGGAAACGCTCTCGGAGCGAGGCAATTCCTGACTTGTATCTGAAGGGCTCCCACGTTGTGTCCTCTTGCTAAGGAAGGTCAAAGCTTCTAGCAACTTCCGGCTAAGCCAAACTAAAACCAGAAGACACCGGAAGTCTTAGCCTTGCTCTCACGGCGGAATTGTGTTCTCTGGATCTTGTTTTGTTCCGTAAGACTGCTTTCACACGTGAGCCCGTGAGCCGGCTCAT